TTAGCGGCATGACCAGCTCTTAGAGGAGCAATACGAGCAAGTGGTCAGAGCTTGTAGCGTAATCCGGCCCATAACTTTATAATTAGACTATTATTATTATTATTATTATTATTATTATTAGATGTATTAAATTTTAAATTTTAATTATTTTTTTTTGTATTATTCAATTTAATTCTAATTCTAAAATTAAATTTTAACAACTTTTTTTCTCTCTCCATCTCCATTCTTTCTCATCTGCACTCCCTACCGGTTAAAATTTAATTTAAATTTATTTTTGTTTGTCTTTATTTGTACAAAAATTTTTGCAATGAAAAAAATATTTGGAATTCATAGTATTATTGTTAGTGTTGTTATTATTATTATTATTATTATTATTAGTATTATTATTATTATTATTATTATTATTATTATTATGATACTATTAGTTTTACAATAATCATAGTATGATTTATTTTTAACTGATAATACACTTTGTATTTATGTCTTTTTTTTATTGGATATATGATTAAAATAATTTTTATTTTTATAAAGTTTATTATTATATTTATCATTAATATTATTTTAAAAATAAATTTAATAATATATTTATAGGGCTATAATTTATTTTTGAACCGAAACTAGTAGTGTGTATCTCAAGTGTACCGTATTCTACCTTGAAGGTGAAAATCAAATGATCAAGTCTTGCCTGAATCAATCAATATTATAGGAGTCGACTTATTGAAACTGATCACTTGATTTTCACCTTCATTCACCTAAGCATCCTCAGCCATGATTTATTGTAGCTTAAAACGAATCAATGGCTTCATCAGACACATCATAAACATGTCCATAATCTGCAATCGATCGACTTATTATAGTAGAATGGAAACAATGAGATCTTGCAGAGTATATGATCTGAATTATTGATTTTTTCCTCGAAGATTTTTTAACAATCGAGTGTCAATTTCTTCGTATCTGCCATTGACAATTGAGAAATCATAGGTGTGTTTGGTTTCTATTTGAAATTAAAATCACTCGGACCATTACTTAAAAAATATAATATTTCTTCGAACAAAATGTCATATCAAAATATTTAGATCACAATCAATTAAATTTTTTATCTTTTTTACCATGTATTTTATTTTTTTCGGGCCTAATTCCGCAATATTTTAGCCTTTTCTTTTAACATAATTGCATATAAAATGGAACTTCTAATTCAGAAAATACAAAATTTCAAGATTTGATTTGGAATATCTTAGAAGCAAATTTTTAAAATCTTCACGCAATCCTTCAAACAAGATTTTTCATATCAACACGAAGAAGGTGGACAAATACCAAACCTTTTACTATTCTTCACATAATTTTTTTCTTTCACAACAAATCACATGAAATAACTAAAATTTTTTATTATTTTTTAATTTTTCTAAAACTCCAAAAACTAACAAAAGTTTGTAAGTGTATCTATGTATTGAATATAGCGTGTGTTCCTTTGGCGTAATTCCTAAAAGATCTATTGTTCCGCCACGGTTGCATGAAAATTAAGTGCCAAACTCCCCCTCACAAGATCTACACTCTATCCATCTAGTTTTCGAATAGGCTCTAACCGAATGTGACGAGAATACTCATCAGACATACCCGGTTGAATGGGTCGGGTGAGTCCCACGAGAGACGTTGAAAGAAGTGCACAATCAACTTTCACTCATTTGACACTATTTATTTTTTTAAAAAAATATCAAATCAAAAACATTTTTTTTTTTTACAAAATATCAAATCAAATATTTTTTTTTTTTCAAATTTACAAAATTTCAAAATTCTCCAAAAACATTGAAAATGACATAACTTAATTCCCATGTTGATGCAAATCATACATAATATAAATCATAATTGCAAGTTTAACTAATCAAATATAGAGAATTGCAATGCACTTGGCCCCAAAAGAACAACACATTAATAAGTTTTTTAATCGATTCGGAGACCTTAGAGTAGAACAAATACAATTGCAATCATTTTTCTTTCATATGCATCATAAACAAAGTATTACATTTCATTCAAAGTACAAATAAAATTTATCCAATTCAATCCATACAACACCCGCCATCGTCTCTATATACAACAATAATCAATTTCTCCCCGACAAATCTATTGTCTCAAACATGTATTTTACCAATATCAAAATTTCGATCACCAAAAATACAAAAACTTGAAGCCCCATTTAATTTAGACTCAATTTATAGACCTCCTTCGTATATCTCTTGATACATAGTTTGAAAGCTTATAACAATAGAAAAAAAAAAAAAAACAAAAAAAAAACCATTAATGCACGAATCAGTAATTAAGAGAAGAAAAAATCAATAAATAAATATAATAAATTGAAAAAAAGTAAAAAGAAAAAAAAAAAGTGGCAATAATTAATAAGATAAATGGAAGGTGGTCGAGGCCATAATTTAATTATAAATCTTTTTTAGTATAAATATATTATAATTAAAATCAATATATTATTAAATTTTTTATAAAAGAATAGAATAAAATTATAATATTATATATGTATTAAAAAAAAAGTTATGGCCGGATATTAAATAAATATATATAAGAATTAATAATGCTATATTTGTTTGTAATTTTGTCTCAAATTTTTGTTATTTATTTATATTTTAAAATATCAAATCAAATATTTATTTTTTATTTTTATATTATATTAATAATTAACTTTATATTCAAAATTTTATTATTAACAATTTCAAATCCAACTCTCAAATCTCCGGCAAACATACTTAAGACTTTATAGAGTCACATATAAACTTCAATTCCCCGAGTTAACTATGCACCCCTCGTCGACTCACTATATCGGCTATTAAGACAAATTTTCCGGCTTAGCTAAACATCCACAAATACTAAAAAGAGATTATATATTACAAATGAAACATTGATGATTACAAATGAGTAGTGTACATATTTTTATAGACCAATAATTATATTCACACTATCCTACAATATACTAGAATGTAAACTATAAAAGCTATATGCATAACAATATAAAAAGTTCTACAATATTAAATAATAATACAATTTATATTTATATAATATAAATAATATATAAAATGGCTATAGTTAAAAATAATTTATACAATACCTATTACTATTAATTTCAGTATATAAAAATATATCCATAATACATGTTTTAAAATGTGAACTGTCGGCACATAATTTGAATATACACATTTCAAATTATATGCCGTCAAGCTCAATTACTACTGAAAATATAGAATATATAAATAAAATTTACACAACAATAATTATTATTTATATATATAAAAGAGATCGGTGTGGGTCTACTTCACCGAATCTTTTTTATTATTTTTTTGATTTTTTTAATAAAATAAATATGTATTAAATGCTATTAAGTATATTATAATTAATATATTTTTAAATATAATAAAATAATTGATTTAATTTTATGATTAAACTAAATTATAATGTAATTTTTTGTCCATTTATACACATAATCTTCGCCTATTTCAATCACAGTATTCTCTCATCCTCTTAATTTTCCTCATTTTTTTGACAATATTTTCTCGGCGACTTTCCGATTAATATTTCTGTAGCGTTTCTTTTCCTTAGCTACCGAATATAGATTTTTTCCTCACATTTTAATCATCAGAATTATAAAATATTGGGGTGTCACATAATTTGAAGATGATGCGTCGCTTTAATGTATAATTTACTTATACTATTTTATTTTGTATTGTATATAAATAGTTTTATATATTTTTACGTCTATAGATATTTTTGTGTTATTTATCTTTAGGTAATTCATATATTAGTTTATATTTAATAATAAAATTAAAATTAAAATTAAAATTTGATTTATTTTCATTTATAATATTAATTATATTTAATAATGGTCGATTACCGATTATTTTGCCTCAGGTATTGATTGTTCCGACGGGTATGATTCTTAATATATATATATTTTCTTTCATAAAAATTAATATTTAACAAAACTATATTATTTTTTATATTATTAACACGATTCTTCATATTTCACATATGAAAATCTTAAACTAAAATACTAAACAAATGTACTTATGCAATAATAATATATATTCATTATAAAACAAGTTTCATATTGTAAAATAAATTACTTAGTTTGCAAGTTATCAAATTTGATCGAAATTACTCGGAGCGCACCCAAATGATAACGATTTCGAATTCCCATATTATAAAAATTAAATAAATAAATAAATTGATTATAGAACGTCATATTGTATCACCATATAGTATAGGAACAATAAATTATCTAAAAAATTGTGTCACAACTTTTATGCTATACAAATTTGAATAGCTCATATCACATGTAAGCATATTTATTGTATACAAACGATATAATGTATTTCTTTTGTATTTTTTGTATTATTATTATATTATTATTTTACTCCATCCGTCTCAATACAATAGTCTTGTTTACTATTTTTGTCAATTTCAAAACAATAGTCTTATTTTCATAAATAATACTACAAGGGCAAAAATGTCTTTTACCTATACTTTTTACTCACTGTCAATATAATATCAATATTCCTTAAATTTCGTATCCAATACAACCAAGAGTAACGTTTCGAAACGAAGGAAGTACGTAAAATAGCTATAAAACACAAAGTTTGTATGAAAATGAAATCTTTTTATTATTAATAATAATAAATGAAAATATAGAGCCCTAAAGGTTATCTTTGAAGTGCTTTTTTTTCCTTATTTTTTACTATTAATTTTGTTTAAATAAAATATTATTTTATATTTAACACTCTTTATTAAATAATTATTTTTATTCAAGGATATCGAATATTTGTGGGCAGTAAATGCTGTATGTGGCTGGCCATGACTAAAGATGAATGGAGTTGAAAATAGTAAAAAAATATATTAATAATATTATTAATACTACTAAATTATTTATCTAACTTTATTCTTCTAAATAATTCTTTTAATTTTTATTTTAATGAAATAAATAAATGAACCGAAGTATTATCATCTGCGGCTGGATCTGTGCACCGACGCTAGAAATGGCCAAATGGGTATAAATGGCGGATACGATACCTTGCCGGCCTGTGCTGCGGCTCTCTCCATCTCCGCCCCGTCTCCAATTTCCACGTCCAGGCGTTCAATGTGAGTGATTCCTCTTTTGGAGAGGAATTGAATTGAGGTGAGTTTTCTGTTGCATTTTCATCCTAATTTTGATTCAATTTTATAGCGATTTTGTCCCGTCGTGCTGTTCTACGTTGTGGATTTTTCTCGAAATGTTTTTCACGCAGTTTGATCTGAATCAGGAGTGTGTTGATTGATGAGATTCCGTGTGTTTCCGTTCTCAGATCTTGATAGGAAGTGAAATCCCTTTAGAGAGGACTGATTTTTGTCGGTGGATTCCCGATCGGCGCCGCCGTCCAGATCTAGGAGGGAAACGGTGAAAAATGGAGTCGTTTCACGGGATCAAGGTCTGGATCTTACTTGTTTTCTTCATTGCGTTTTCCCAATTTGGCGAGGGGTTTTATCTTCCTGGCACTTACCCTCATAAGTATGAAGTCGGTGATTTCTTGAATATGAAGGTCAATTCCTTGACCTCAATTGATACTGAAATTCCGTATAGCTATTATAGTTTGCCATTTTGTCGTCCGAGCGAGGGAATTAAGGATAGTGCTGAAAATTTGGGGGAATTTCTGATGGGTGATAGGATAGAGAATTCGCCTTATAGGTTTAAGATGTTCACAAATGAGAGTGATATTTATCTGTGCCAAACTAAACCGTTGTCTGCCGACGAGTTCAAGCTTTTGAAAGAGAGAATTGATGAGATGTACCAAGTTAATGTGATTTTGGATAACTTGCCGGCCATTCGGTATGCGAAGAAGGAAGGGTTTTTGTTGAGGTGGACTGGTTTCCCTGTTGGTGTGAAAGTTCAGGATGCTTATTATGTGTTCAATCATCTGAAGTTTACAGTTCTTGTCCGTAAGTATGAGGAAAACAATGTGGCTCGTGTTATGGGCACGGGGGATGCTGCCGAGGTGATCCCTACAACTGGAATTGAGGGATCTGATAAACCTGGATACATGGTTGTCGGGTTTGAAGTGGTGCCCTGTAGTTTCCAGCACAATGCCGATTCGCTTAAGAAACTAAAGATGTACGATCATTATCCAAACCATATCAACTGCGATCCAGGAACAGTGGCTATGGTGATTAAGGAGAACGAGCCGGTGGCTTTTACATACGAGGTGTTGTTTGTGGAGACCGACATCAAATGGCCGTCGAGGTGGGATGCATATTTGAAGATGGAGGGAGCGAAAGTGCACTGGTTCTCGATTCTTAACTCTCTAATGGTGATCACTTTCTTGGCCGGTATTGTGCTGGTGATCCTTTTAAGGACTGTCAGGCGCGATCTTGCTCGGTATGAGGAGCTCGACAAGGAAGCACAAGCGCAGATGAACGAGGAGTTGTCGGGATGGAAACTTGTTGTGGGTGATGTTTTCCGGGCGCCCACCAATCCGTCGCTTCTCTGTGTCATGGTTGGAGATGGAGTTCAGATACTCGGAATGGCAGTCGTGACGATTATGTTTGCTGCGCTCGGATTCATGTCCCCTGCTTCTCGCGGCACGCTGATAACGGGCATGCTGTTTTTCTATATGGTTCTTGGACTTGCAGCTGGATATGTTGCAGTTCGAATGTGGAGGACAATGTTCTGCGGAGATCATAAGGGATGGATGTCCATCTCATGGAAAGTAGCTTGTTTCTTCCCCGGGATTTCCTTCCTTATCCTTACGACTCTCAACTTCTTGTTATGGGGCAGCCAGAGCACCGGAGCTATCCCCTTTTCGATATTCGTTGTACTCATTTTGCTCTGGTTCTGTATCTCGGTTCCCCTTACTCTTATCGGTGGCTATTTTGGCGTCAAGGCAACTCACATTGAATATCCCGTTAGAACCAACCAAATACCCCGTGAAATCCCACCTCAGAAATACCCGTCTTGGCTTTTGGTTCTTGGAGCAGGTACCCTCCCCTTCGGGACGCTCTTTATCGAGCTGTTCTTCATAATGTCCAGCATCTGGATGGGCCGAGTGTACTATGTGTTTGGATTTCTCTTCATCGTACTTATCCTTCTGGTAGTTGTTTGTGCTGAAGTATCCCTCGTCTTAACTTACATGCATCTCTGTGTGGAGGACTGGAGATGGTGGTGGAAATCGTTCTTTGCATCTGGTTCTGTTGCTATATACATCTTCCTTTACTCCATCAATTATCTGATCTTCGACTTGAAGAGTCTGAGCGGCCCTGTCTCGGCAACCCTTTACCTCGGCTATTCTCTCTTCATGGTTCTTGCGATTATGCTTGCTACTGGCACTGTGGGGCTCCTTTCTTCGTTCTGGTTCGTATATTATCTGTTTTCTTCGGTGAAGCTTGATTAAGATCCTTGCCTTTGGATTTAATAGAAATTTATTACTGCAATAAGACTTTAGTGATTATGCCAAATTTTGTTGAACAATTTACTGCATGTTTTCTTTGAAATTTGTTCTTATCGGTTATTAGTGAATTTTAATGGAAGAGCAGTGGCTGTTATATTCTTTTGTTGGTGAAAATCTTTGAATGCTGGGGAACAAGAAATTTGTCGATGATAATTGGCTTTTGTTGTTGTCATGGGATCTTTGTGCGGTATTCCATTCTAGATGTTTAGTTACTGGTTTGAATTATTTCGTGAGTTTCTTGAGGATGTATTGCATTATATGCTGTTCATGAGTTTTATTTAAATTCTAGTTTGGGATGAACTTACTACTACAATTACTATTATCAAAATTGTTTGGAAGAATGTTAAATAACATGGCAAGATAACATAAAAAAAAGCTATGTGGTTTACGAAATTTACTGAAAATCCCCTTGGTCCTAAAATTCTGATTTACCTACTTGTTTATTTAATGTTGCAAAAAAACCACCTCTTAATGAATGTATTGCTCGCATTTTTGTAACTTCCTCTATCTTTTGCCTAGATAAAATGAAATTTTATGACCAGAGAGGTGTTTTTAGCGAATTTTGCAAACCACAAGGGGTTTTTAGCTATTTTGCCAAATAACTTTCAAGAATTGAATTGATCTAAGGGTGGATTTGCTGAATGTGTGCATATGTCTTTTGTGTTTAGCCAAATGAATAAACAATCGCGAATTCTAATCCTTAGTTATATATATGTGTATATGTATCATAATCTCGTAAGAATTTAGATCGTGTTTAGATATGTTTTGAAAGAGTTTCGGCGATTTTTTAGAATAGTAGAACCTCGAATAAGGAAGTAGGTATTTTGATGTGAAGAATTAGGTGTATAGAATTATAGTATGCATTTTTTATGTAATGCTATTTTACAAAAAGTAAAATGAAAGAACGAAGAATTAAATGAGATTGTTTATAAGTCTGCATTGAGTTTGGTTATATTGATTTTTTATTTAAGTAATATATGATCATGAGATTTTTAAAGAGAAAATGTGTAAATATTTTGAAAAAATTGAAGTTTAGATAATTAAAAAAAAAAATATATATATATATATATATATATATAAACTCAAAAGAATAAACTCAAAATATATATATATATAACCTTTTTTTCACAGTAGAAAATCCAAGATCCATGGTTATCTTAAATATATAATTAGTATAGTAATATATGAGATAATTATATCCTAGCAATAGGTGAAATAATCTTGTAAAATATAATTAAAATTTATAGTTATATATATATTATCTAAATACATCTATTATATATCACACACACCTAATTTTACAGTGAATTTCATGAACATGAATCACCAATTAGAGCACAACTATCTCACATTCAACATAAATATTTATTTTTTAAAAATTATTCAAATTACTTAAACAAACCATTTATATTTTTGTATAAATAATAATACTTCCTCCGTCCAACTCTAAAGTTCTCATATACATTCTGTGTTATTTTACTTTATCATTAAAAATATCCTTATATTTATATAATTTTTTACACAAATGTCATTATAATAGTATTATAAGATACTAATAGAAGTATTTTTGTCATTTTTTCTTAATTTATACTATAATTTTATATAATAATTAATATTTAAAAATCAACACGCAAATAATAAATAGGCCCTTAGAACCGGACGAACATAGTATTTAAAAATGTTGTATTATAATTTGCATATAAAAAATTTATCCAATGTTTATTGCATGAGTTTTTGGTCAAAATAACATGTCTGTTCATTCAGCGTTTGTAGATGAATTAATTTTTTTTTTTTTTTGTAAGAAACTGTGTTGGTAATATAAAAAATAATATTTTGTGTTAAATAGTTAATTTTTTATAAATGTATAATATATATACTATATTAATATATGTAGATATTTGTATTTTTAATAATATTTATGAAAAAATGTTTCATTGATAAATATTATGTGAACAAACTGCTTCCTTTGCTCTCTAAATTACTATTTTTTACTATTCAACTAACACATTTTTAATGAAAATATTATTCAAATTAAAATTAAAATAAATAAATAATAATAATAAAAGAGGAGGAAGACAAACCAAGTAACCTATTAGTAACCTATTAGTGCATACAATTTCAATATTTCTATCTATTATCATGGAAAATAAAAAAATTTGTGGATATTTTTAGGTTACACAATAAAGAATTGAAGCAAAAAAAAAAATCATTTAATATATGCCATATATTTTTTATTTTTTAAATCAAGATTGTTCCACAATGTAGATCAAACTCCACGTAAATACTTTTCCTATTATTATCATTTAATTGTCTTCCACGTAATTTATCATAGCCTATTTGTTTGGTAGCCAAACAATTAACAATGCCCCCTCCCTATTATTATTATTATTAAAGTTTTTTTTTTTTTTTAAATCCAATAAATTACACGCACATTTATTAAAATCACATATCCACACAAAAAAATTCCTAAAAGTTGTATTTGAATATGTATTGAAAAGAAATTTTTATTGATTTGAAAATAATAAAAAAATTAATATAAAGAAATTTAATACTCCTCCGGCATGCAAATGTGTGTCCGTTTAATCAGACACAAATTTTAATAAAAATGAATAATAATTGTTACTTTTTTATTTTATAGTAAAAAAAATACAAGTGTAATATTTTTTATTTAAAAACAAGAATATTTCTTTTTATGATAATCCAAAAAAAAGTAAATATAGATTTGAATGAAAATGGAGTATAAATTTTGTATAAAACAAATAACTTAATATTTTAAATAAAAATAAATTTTAGATATTTTTCCGAAATTTCTTTCTATAAATCACGTGTAGAAAATAAAAATCTAAATAAAGAGAGTTAAAGAGCAGCCGAAATTAATAAAGGTGTGTCGCCCCCCTACGGCCAACCGCCAACACCTACACACGTGCTTAGCTGTAGATTCTAGAACCGTCCGCACGTGCCGCCCCCCATAACTGCCTCTTCCATCCCGCCCATTCATTCATTCTCCCTTCCCTCAACTTTTTCCATAACCATTCATCATCGCCGCCGGCATATCATCGCCGCCTCTATTATGTCGATCGCCGCCGGAGACCACGGCCTCCTACGGGGAATTTACGACGGATGCATCGCCGGTGGAGACGCCGACGTCCAGAGGCGCCCCTACCATAAGAATTGCAAGTGCGCGTTGCACAGGCGGAACCCTAGCAACTCCGGCGACGTCTCCGCCACCTCCGCTCGAGCGGGATTTTGCCGATCTAATCGAGTTTCCTATCCGATGCGGAGGACGTGGAGCGACGGTTGCCTCGCGCTGTCGCCGGCGACCGGCGGGGAAATCGTCCGGAGGATGCGGTTGCGGACGCCGACGCAGCTGGATCTGTGCGAGGACGGCGACCAGGCTCCGCCGTCGTGATTGGTGGTTCGATTTCGTATACGAACTTTTTTTTTTAATCGATTTGATAATTTGATTTTTGATTTTTTTTTTTTGGAAAATGGTAATTACGAAGTGATAATGATGATTAACAAATTGCGTGATGATTGAATCTGCAAATTTGTTAAGCAATGTATGATTGTTTCATTGTCTTTCTCAGCATAATTGTGTGATTGTAGAATCATAATTAATTATACTGTAGATTTGTATTATCATTTTTTTCTAAGAAAAAATGAAGAATATAATTAATTTCCTCGGGTTAGTTACTGTGTTTGATTATCATATTGTGTTTGTCTATTCTTATATCATTAAATGCTTTGTGTCATATGAATTATATTATGTTAACAGAATTTCTGCCATTTCATTTTTTTTTTTTTTTTTTTTAATAACGTGGAAACTCTGAGCTGAGGTGAATCTCCGGTCGAACCTAATACCCTGCAAACGAAACTCAACAGGCAAGTCACACTAAGCGAACCATGTGTGGCAGGTGACCTGAGGCGTCGGGGGTTTAATAATATTCTTTTTAAAAAAAAGGAAAAAACAAAAGATGTGAGACAAACCAATATATTATACATATTCATTATTTTTATATTACTTGTACAATCCCTCGTATTCATATAAAAAAAAAAATTCTTCAGACCAAAATACAAAGCAAACAAACCCCGTTTATTGGGAGTAATTTAAGGAAAATGAAAGGTTTGAGACTATATATATATATGTCAACTATTGTTTGCCTCACAAAATTAAATGCCTCAATTCTAAAGGTTTGAGACTATATATATATATATATATATAATTTGGACTCTATATTTTTCGAAAAAATGCATTTTCTCCTCTCACAAAAAAAACATGTTTGAACATATAAGTAAAACGCCATCTCTAAAGCTTTTTATAGAACGGCTCATTGTATATGATCTTATATATGACCATTTTTCTAGCCGGTATGTATGATTTATTTGTGTTAGTTCATGTAAGTGAAAGGTGGTGTATCAATAGTGTTTTGTTCATATACAATTTTTTTTTTAAAAAAAAAAAAATATTATAATAAAAATAGTACAATATATAACATGAAAATTTATAAAAACATACAAAATTTTATTTCCTATAATAAATTTTCATATTTCATAACAAAAACATTTAAAAATTTAACTAATACATATAATTGAAGTAGTTGTCATGTTGACAGTTAATTTGAAGACAGTTCCAATTCAATTAAATGTAATGAAATGAAATGATCGAACAAGTAAGCAAAGCAACCACATGCTGGCTACTACTACTTTTATTTCATTTCCAGCGAAGACACAATTGTTGCCTGTTGTAAAATAAATCATTTATTGTCGCGTAAGGAATGACATGGTGGTGTAGGAGTTGGATTTGTGACCATTGAATTGGATTTGTGACCATGAAGTCATTGGTTCAAATCCCCGGGTTTGACCGGGGGTTTACCCTAAATGAATAATTGTTTAATTTTATATTAATAAATTTGTATAATATATTAATTTGTTTTTGGAGGAATTGTGTGGGGTTGTTATGCAAAAAGGACACACCCTAGTTAATTAAGCATTGTTGAATGTTAATCTCATCTTTTATATAAAATAGATATGTGAATGGACTAAATTATCCCTATTTAATCAATGTTTAAGAAGTAATTCTACATATGTTGAATT